GTAATAAAAACTAAGATAAATTGTTGCTAGGCTGAAAATAAATCACAACAGATGAAAATTTAGAATTAAAGAAAGCCTACTAGAAAATTGTAAATTTAAATAATTTAATACATTATGTAGTTTCTTCCCCTGATTTCTTTAAAAGACTGCTTAAGGCAAAAACTATGATATTATGGGGTTTATAACATATGTAGATATAAATATATGGAAAGGGCAAGTGAAATGATTTGTGCACATGATTATAACTATATGTGAAAGTAAGACCAGTCTCTAAATGGACTGATAAGTTATAATCCCTCTGATGGCCACTAAAATAATAATTTAAAAAGAGGAATGAGTAACAAGCCAACAGAAATATTAGAATACAAAAAATATTCAATTATTCCAAAGTAAGGCAAGAAAGGAGGAACAGTAGAACTAAAATCAAAAGGGGCAAACAGAAGGTTGGTAGACTAAATCAGATCAATTGATAATGACATTAAATATAAATAAGCCAAACACTGCAACTAAAGGCAGAAATGATCACACTGGCTTAGAAAAAATATCCAACTATCTGACAATAAAAGAGGTACTTGAAAGAATGAAAACAGTGAGCATAAAAAAAACAGCATAGACAATGAGCATAAAAAAAAAACTTACTACATTAATGTCATACAAAATAGACTTCAAGTTAAGGAATACTGCTATAGAGAAACACTTTGTAACTATAAAAGGTCCAATTCATCAGGAAGATGTTAAAGTCATAATGCTTATGTCCCTAAACACAAAGAAACAAAATACGGAAAACGAAACTGACAAAACTGAAAGGAGAAACAGACAAGTCCAAACCTTAGCTGGAAATATATACACCCCTCTCCCAGTAATTGATTAAGCAGGTATAACAAAAAAACAGTAAGGATATAAGTATCTGAACAACCTTGTTAACTAACTTCATTGAGTTGACATTTATAGACCACTAAATGCAATAACTACAGAATACATTCTCTTTCCAAGTACAAATCAATGTCCATCAAGATAG